TAAAAAATTAAAAAAAACAAGATGAAAAACTTTTAATTATTTTTTAATTAAAATTTTATAACTTCACTTTTTTTAATTTTTAAAATTCAGCTCATTAAATTTTTTTTTTATCTTTCTTTTCCTTCATTTTTCTCATACACAATGAACTACTAACTAATGCTTCTGAACGCACTAAAGAGACCAAAGAAAAATCAGTCATTCCCAAAGAGACCATGGCTGCGTCACTTGTTGGTGGACCTCTTCTCTCTGCTGTCTTCAATGTGCTTTTGGAGAGACTAACACCTGAGCTGACAGATTTGATCAACAAAATCGGAGGAAAGAAGCTGGATCACAAGTTACTTAATCATTTGGAGCCATCCTTGATTGCTGCAAGAGCTGTGCTCAACGATGCAGAACTCAAACAATTCGCGGATCCTGCTGTGAAAGATTGGCTAGATGAACTCAAAGATGCTGTTTATGACTTGGAAGACTTGATGGATGAGATTTCCACCCGAGCTGCCACTCAGAAAAAGGTGAGCTATTTCTCCTTTGCTTCTCTTAGTTTGGGAGATACAAGCATGGCAAATAAGTTAGAAGTTATCAGCGATAGAATTGAATATATTGTGGGGCAAAAAGATGCTCTTGATTTGAAGAAGAGAACTGGAACGGGTCCGGAAACTCTGTCCTGGAGGTCTCCAGTTACATCTCATGTGGAAGTCTCTGAAGTGTACGGGAGGACGAAAGAAAAAGAAGATATAATTAAGCTGATGTTTAGTGGTGAGGGTGGTCCGTTGTCTGTAATTCCCATTGTGGGCATGGGCGGGGTAGGGAAGACCACCTTAGTTAATTTAGTTTATAATGATGTCAAGCAAAAATTTGATCTTACCGCATGGGTTTGTGTTTCTGAAGCATTTGATCTTTTGAAAATAGCACAGACCATAATAAAATCTATCAGTCCTGATTTTGTCTGTGAGAACCTGGATTTGAATCTTCTTCAGCTTCATCTGGCGGAGAAGTTAGAAAGGAAAACTTTTTTAGTTGTTCTTGATGATTTTTGGAATGACAACTACAATGATTGGGATACTTTGAAGAGTTTGCTTCACAATGGAGTGGAAGGATGTAAAATTCTTGTTACAACTCGCCTAGAGCGTGTTGCCTTGATGGTCAAAACAATCTCATCATTTTATTGCCTAGATATCATGTCTGACAAAGATTGTTTGTCAATTTTTGCTGCACATGCTTTCTATTGTAAAGATTCAACTGTGAATTCATGCTTAGAAAAAATTGGAAGTGATGTTGCTAGGAAGTGCAAAGGATTGCCTTTGGCTGCAAAGGTGCTTGGGGGACTTTTTCGATCAAAGCCTCACTTTGAAGACTGGAATAGTATATTAAAAGAATCGATGTGGGATTCATTGGACGATAAGATCATTCCAGCTTTGAGAGTCAGTTATTATTATCTCCCTCCCAATTTAAAACAATGCTTTGCTTATTGTTCTTTGTTCCCAAAGGATTATGAATTTAATAAGGAAAAATTAATCTTGATGTGGATGGCAGAAGGTTTTTTGCAACCGTCAAAGCGAAACATGACTTTAGAAGAAGTTGGTCAAGAATACTTTGATGATTTAACTTCAAGATCATTCTTTCAACCCTCACCACCTGAACTTGATGTGTACTTTGGGATGCATGATCTCATTCATGAGTTAGCAACTCATGTTGCTGGAGACTTTTGCCTTAGATTAGGGGAGAATGGAAACAAAATTGGTAATAAGACACGCCATTTATCTTGCAACTTTCAATATTATCCATGCTTAAGTCATGAGGTTTTTCAAAAATCAAAAGGCTTACGAACATTTATAGGATTGGATTTTTTCAATCTCCCTAGGTCTATTGGAAATGCTTCTCATATTGTATCATCAAATTTGAAGTCCTTGCGGATGCTGTCACTCGAGGGTTTGCGGTCCTTAAAGATAGTTCTTGACTTAATCGGGGAATTTATCCATTTGCGCTATTTGGATCTATCGTGGACAGGTATTAGAAGTTTGCCTGATTCAATCTGCAAGTTGTTTAATTTACAGACGTTGAAGTTGCGTTCATGTTCATCTCTTGAGATGCTACCAAGTGACATGAAAGGTCTTGTAAATCTTCGTTATTTGGATCTATCTTTCTCAAAGAAGATTGTAAGTTTGCCTGACTCATTGTGCGAATTATACAATCTAGAAACATTGCGGTTGGGATATTGTGATTCTTTGAAGATGCTGCCAAGAGATATGCAAGATCTTGTAAACTTGCGACATCTTGATGTAGCAGGCACTAGCTTGAAAGAAATGCCGAGGGGATTGGGTAGCTTAAAAGATTTGAAAATTTTGTGTAAATATGTTGTGGGCGAAGACCAAGGGACCGGAATTGGAGAATTGGGCGGAATGCCAAATTTGAAGGGTGGGATTGAAATTAGTAAATTGGAGATTGTCAAGAATGGAAAAGAAGCCTACAAGGCGAGGATGATGGAGAAGAAGCACATTAAATGGTTAGCATTATCATGGTCTAGGGATGGTGACGTGGAAGACACACGAACTGAGAGAGATATTTTGGGAAATCTTCAACCTTACTGGGGTTTAGAAGATTTGGAAATTAGAAATTATAGGGGCACAATATTTCCGGATTGGTTAGGAAGCCATCGCTACCGGAACATGACTATGTTGCAATTGACAGGGTGCGAAAACTGTTGCATACTTCCCCACCTTGGGCAGCTTCCGGCTCTAAAGGATTTAAGAATTAATGGATTAAATGGGGTAAAAAGAATTGGTGATGAGTTGTTGAAGGGAGATGATTGTGCTTCCATAATACCATTTCCATCCCTTGAAGTTCTCGATTTTTCTTCGATGACTTCATGGGAACAATGGCATTCCATTAACACGGAAGCTTTCCCTAAGCTCCGAATACTCAGAATATATGATTGCCCCACGTTAATTGGAAATTTACCTCCCCAGTTGCCTTCTTTAGAAACTCTGGAGATTGAACGCTGTCCATTTTGTTGTTCTAGTATTCCGAGGTGTCCCAAACTTCAAAAACTAGCGACAATTGGAAGTGAAAATGTGGGGTGGCAAGAGCAAGAGTTACCTCCTTCCCTTTTCAAGCTAAAGATTACAGGATGTCGGATGTTAGAATCAATGGCAGAGGCACTCTCTAAACCTTCGCATTTACAACAATTAACTATCACTGGTTGCTCTAATATATCACCTCTAACTATTCATTTGCCCCAGTCATTACAATATTTACGGGTACATTTGTGTGAAAACGTTGATTTTGTGATGAGTTCAACTGCTCCTCTTCAAAATCTCCAGTCTATCAGTATTGCATCGTGTAATTTTGTGAAATTTATGTGGGATGACATGGAAGGCCTTCTCCCGAATTTAAGAAAGCTAAGCATTGAGCATTGTGAGGAGATGGAAGCATTTCCAGAAGGGATCCTTGTGGCAAGTTTGAGGGAACTTATTATTGGAAGCAGTGGTAAGCTATTATCACATCAAGCAGAGTGGCACCTCCTGAGTAATATCACTTACCTTCGTATACAGGGTAGATATGACATCAGGTGTTTTCCAGAGGGGTGTTCTCTTCCTACCACACTTACCACTTTGGAACTCTATTTCTTTAAGGAATTGGGGACATTGAATTGCACAGGACTTCAGCACCTGACCTCTCTTCAACATCTAAAGATCATGTATTGTCCCAAGTTGGAGAAAATGTCAGGAGAAAAGCTGCCTGCTTCTTTAAGAAAGCTTCACATTTATGAATGTCCGTTGCTTGAAGAAAAATACCACAGCAAGGATGAACAACTTTTCTACCAGATATCTCACATCCCAAACATCAATCTATTCTGGAAATGAGATACAATTAATTATGGATGAGGTATTTATCGTCCACACTCATGTTCCCAACTTTTACATTTTATTTTCTACTACTTCATACATGCATTCACGCACCATTACACTTCCATATAATTAAATGTTCCTCAATAGTGTTAATTTACTTGCATTGTTGGAATCACTTCTTGCATCGGTTAATCTTTTGATCATTTATATGATACTAGCAAAATTATTTGTTTCCAGGTACGCTCTGGATTCCAGCTCCCTCTCTGTTTCTGTAAACCTACTTTAGCTATTTTTCTTTGCCTTCTTTTTTCCTCTCCCCCCCCTGCATAAGCTCATCGGGCCTATATATTAATGTAAATAACCATTTAACTGACTGCTTATACGTTGAGATAAAAAGCATGATTATTATCTTTAGAGATAAGAAAACACTTATTTTTTCAGAACAATCACGTGATTTTAACTAACTAATTAAACCTATTATAAGCATTTTTTTTTTGTTGGAACTGAAAGTGCTCATTGATAAATTCTAGTTGTTTGCTGTATTACTCGCGTTTAGTTTAGTTTTTCTTCCTATAATTTAATATGTTGTGTATATTCAATGACTTTACACTTTGTTTTTGTTATTTTCCTTTCCAAATTTAAGTGACTATAAGGGTGACTCTTAGAATTAACTTAAAGTATTATAATTTGGAAAACTTCACGAACTAAATAGTGGCAGCAATCTCATAGGAAATTATAATTTGAAATAATCATGAAGGTACACTTCCAGACAAGTTTATGTCTACATAACAAATGCCATTTCTTGTTTCTTTTTTTAAATCTTCTCTGATTGAGTTTTTCTTTTTATGGGGTTGTTGCAGATAGAGTCCAACATGGGTAGTTCTAATTGGCAAAAGCAAACCTAATGCTTCTTCTTTGCAAGGGGTAATGCTGCAATTAAGATCCCCTTCATATATTCCTATTCTAAAGAGGCCTGAACTAAACCAAAACCTTTGGTTTTCTTCTTTCTCATAATCTGCTTGTTTAATTAACCTTTCTACCCTATATTTTCCTTTTATTCTTATTAACTAGACGATCTTCATTTCCATTGCCTTTTTTCTTTTCCCCCCTTCCTTGGGCTATCTCTAGACTTATCATATGCTTAAAATGCAGCATCAGCAAGAGTGACAGCAAGGGATTTGCAGACTTGAAGTCTTGAACCTGTGCTGATGAAAATTGACAGAATATTCCCTGATTTTCTGGATTTTTTTTTGTGTGGCTCGGGTGCATTATTCTTTTTTTTTTTCCAAAGAAACTTTTGGTGAAAGTGTGTGTGGTGAATCTGTACTTCTGTATATAATGGCTTTTTTTTCTGTTTGCTTAAATGTTGGGATGAATATGTGTATAATGTATCGTGAATACTTATCTATTAATATATAAAAGTAGAGTACAAGGCAGGAGTTGCTGGTAGCATGACACGTGGCATCCTCTATGTGTAGATAAATGGTTTTCTTTTTCTTTTTTCTTTTTGGTAAAAGTTATGTTCCTACCCATGTTCTGCACGTCCCTACACATAACTTACCCGTAGTGTCAAATAAATGTGTTTTATTTTTCTGTTCTTTATAAAAAACCAAAATTCTGAATAAGTTTAGATTCTAATTTAAATTATTATAATTACAATTCAACTGATAAAACAAAATAGATATTGATAACTAATGAGGAAGTGTTTGGCAGTTTAATATTTATATATTATTAATATTTTTATTTTTGAATAATACAGATACAAGAAGTTAGAATAATTGTTATCTATGTATGGAGATTATTTTTTTGGTCCATTAACAAAATTGGTTGACATTGCTATTTTTCAGCCACAAATAAACAACTGTAAAGATTTTTTATTTATATTTAATTTATTATCATATTTATATGACTCATATCCGATATTTACGTTTTGGGGTTAATTAGGATCTTGATTTAAATTGGCCACTTAATATTTTAATTGATTTATAAATTTATAAATTATAGGAAGAACTATAATCACAAAATTCTGAAACGTGTGGCGGTTTTTTATTATATATTTATTGGCTATTTTCACGGTCATGCAACTAAATATGTAAACTGGCCACTTAATATTTAAATTGATTTATAAATTGATAAATTATAGGAAGAGCTGTAATCACAAAATCTAGAAACGCGTGGCAATATTTTATTATATATTTATTGGCAATTTTCACGGTCATGCAACTAAATATGTAAATTGGCCACTTAATATTTAAATTGATTTATAAATTGATAAATTATAGGAAGAGCTATAATCACAAAATTTGGAAATGTGTGACAGTTTAAAATATTAAGTGGCTAATAAATACAGTTTTAAATATAGGAAGAGCTACAATAACAAAATTCGGAAACATGTGGCAACTAAAACACGGTTATGCCACTAAATATTTAAATTGGCCACTTACTATTTAAATTGATTTATAAATTGATAAATTATAGAAAGAGCTATAAATAAACAACTGTAAAGATTTTTTATTTATATTTAATTTATTATCATATTTATATGACTCATATCCGATAGTTACGCTTTGGGGTTAATTAGGGTCTTGATTTAACCAATTTCTCCTGCCTATGGCTTTCTAGAGGATATTGTATTTATTTTTCTTTTTAAAAACTTCTAATTTTATTTTTCTTCCTACAATTCTCATTATCATGATCTCAATCACCTCAAAAATCGTGATATCCTCTCCCATTTCACGTAAACTATTTGATTGCAATTAAACAGGAAGTTAAGATAACTTCCATCAACCATCACCTGTTACCCACTTTCTCCACTTTCTAGGTGTTTTTCTTAATTTTTTTTTTTTGGGGTAAAACCCACGATTCCTATTAGAAAGTTATGACCCTTTTTTTTTGAAACTTTTTAAATTTGAATTTTAAATCATATATGAGAAGACATCGAACAGGGAGAATTGTTGGATGATTCAAATAGCATTGTGACGAGCGAAGGCGTACAAGTTTCATCTCTCTCTGCTCTCTCTCTTTTTCTTTCTTATCTTCTCATTGTTTTTGTTATTCTAATTTGGATATGTTTCTTCTCCACGAATTCTTTTGATGGCATGGAAAAGAGGGAGTTTAATTTCCATGATTTCTATTTCTTTTTCTTTCTTCATTTCTTATAGGATTTATTTGTTGTTAACAACAGAGGTCAGCTGTCTCTTCAAAGTGATACTTATCAGATGGGAACGAGCACAAGGTCCAAGGAACAACTATGATATGTGAATGGATGCTTTTAATAAACACGTGCACAATTTTCATCAGGTATAACCGGTTTGTTCTTTCCTAGAAAATTTAGTTTATAGCATTAACAATAAAGAAAAGACATGTTTATCTCATTGTTTTGTTTTGCAAATATCAACATTTCAACTTCTGACTTCTTCATTTACCACTCCACTCATTCACTTATTTATTGTGTTATGATGTAGACGACAGCAAAGCTAATGTAAAGGAGAGCATCAAAGCAAAACACATAGTGCTCTCGGCCCATCACAAAAGATCATCAAATGTTGACTTGCTTTCATAATTTGATTCGTACAACTTTTCTTTGGTGCTCCATATATTTTTACTTCCCAGAATTTACTTTGAAGTGCTTAGAGCTTTTACTACCTTGACCTAGATTTCCATGCACACACGCACATACAAGATCCACATGCATATTGCGCTAAACCTTTTGTGACGGGTTGCAATGGTCTAGATTGACTATTCCTATCAAATGTAGCATGTTCTATAGTTGCCTAATTACTTTTCGGGTATAAGAATATATATTGTTACTTATCAACTCATTCCTTATAAAACTCATGCTCCTGCTGTTAATCTGAATTCCTCAAGTAAATGTTATTGTAAACTAGCAGTAGCTACTTTATGAAATTTTTGCGCATCATAATTGTATATGCATAATAGTTGCTTAGTTGCAGAGTTCACGAAGAGAGCTTCTTGGTTATCTACTTTGCTTTCTTTATCGTGTCATACCATACCTCAAAATAGCGGGTTAGCACTCTTTAATTGTATTTTTTTTTTATGTTCAACTAATAAAATGTTATGCCAGTTTCTATTTAATCAGTCGATGTCAATCCAAAATTGTTATTTTATTTAATCTTATTGATGTGTAATCATATTTTTATTTAAAAAAATTGAAGTTATTATATTATTGAGTTGAAGACAAAAATAAAATATATAAGATTGTGTCCTTAAGACATTTTAGCATTATTTTCATCATAAAATATATTTGTTCAATATAACTTGATCCCTATGACAGTCAGAAAGAGAAAAGTAAGTTATAAGAATTTAAAAAGACTTGCATTTGTGCAAGGGGCAGAATGAGTGGCCTCGATATCTCGTACTACAACCTATTAAATAGGTGCGAGTTAACTGAAACCTGTTTGAATTCTAGAATAAACTTATATATAACATATTGACCACAATATATAATATTAAGGTCAGGCAAAATGAAATATATAAAATTGTGTCCTAAAGTAAAGTCACATATAAAGTTTATTTATTCAGTCTAACCTAAAATTACGTCCCTGTGATAGCTAGAAAGGAAAAAAAATTGATATTCAAAAAGAAAGTTTTTGTAATATTATATTTTGAGGTAAAAGTGAATTTCAATTAACCATTCCATAGTGATTTCACTTTGCGTGTTGTATATGGAGCCCATCCTTCATATCCACGAAGCCATCACGTCTCACCAGAATGCATGTATGGGCTTTATTTTTCTATTTTGTAAAACCCAAAATTCTATGTGCAGCTCCTCTATTTATGCATTCTTCACATCTTGACAGTTATCTCTCATGATGCATTGTTTCTATTTAAATTATTTTAGTTGAGTTTTTATTTAGATTTTAAAATTAAAACTCATCTTAAAAAAATATTTTAATTTTTTTATAATAATGGGGTACACCTTACCGAGTGGCTATATGCCTACTACGATTACGAGAGGCATGAGTATTTGGGAAGCGCGACACGTGGCATCACTAAAGATAAGATAAATGTTCTTTTTCTTTCTTTCTTTTTTTTTTTAAAAGGCTATATTTTTTTACTCATGTTTCTACCCACGTTTTGCCAACTGTTTATTTGAGAGAATTTTCCAGTCAACATACCATGATTGAAAGTTTGTATTTCGAATTTAAAACACGGTTATGCCACTTAAAATTTAAATTGGCCACTTAATAATTAAATTGATTTATAAATGAATAAATTATAGGAAGAAGTATATTCCCAAAATATAGAGAAACATGTGGCAATTTTTAATTATATATTATCGGATAGTTAGTTTAGTTTAAACATTTTTTTCTACGATATGAACGAGTATTCGAATTATCTTATATTATCTAAAGACACTTTGAAAGTTTGTATTTGGAATGTAAAGCCAGTTAAAATTTAAATTGGCCACTTAATTATTAAACTGATTTATAGATGGATAAATTATAGGAAGAGGTATATTCACAAAATCTAGAAACATGGGGCAATTTTTTCATATAATTGTATCTTGCATGACTTACTAACAAATTGTCACTTGGCTCAACCGAATGTAAATAAATGGTGTTTTTTTCTTTTTTTTTCTAAAGCCAAAATTTTATGTCCAACTCCCTATTTATGCGTTATTCACCACTATAATACATGTTACTCCTTATTCCCACTACCTATCTCTTTTTGTGATAGAATCAGTTAGTTATCTCTCATAATGCAGTATTTTCTATTTAAATGGTTTTAGTTGAATTCTTGGCATATATTGTTTATTTATATTTTAGTGGCATTGTTTGCAAATAAATTTTTTATTTTTACTTTTGTTAAAGCCACATTTTTTACCCATGATCTTTCTATTTATGCGTTTTTCTTGGGAATTAGTTCGATCATATTTATTTAAGTGTACGTTTCATGTCTTTCTATTTACTTTTGCAAAATAATGATTTTTGTTAATGGCAGATAAATCTACTTTTTTATATAATTTTTTGATTAATTCAATTAATTCTGATTTATTACAGAATTTATTGCAATTATCTCCAATAATGAGCCTCATTTTTTCTATTTTTTGTAAAAACCAAAATATCCTTTATATGCAAATATTTTAAATTAAGAAAAATAAATAAAATTATATAACTTCTCTTATCCCGAAAATCGTGACATATATGCGAGGCGTGATGTATGTTCAAAATTTGAAATTTGATGGTATAATTTAGAATTATATCTGCTTGAAATTTAATTTCAGCTGGTCTCTTAGTATATTGAAAATAATATCTTACACCCTAAATCTAAACTATTATTTATACTTGAAATATTTATTATTTTTTATTTATGAATTATTTTGAAATCTAATTCAAAATATTTTAACTCACTAACGATTTTGTCTGCATTGATTTTTCTTGTATTAAATAGCCTACTTTTACAATACATATATCATATTTGTCTAATATAATATTATTGACCAAGACATTATCTGTGTAATTATTGAATATAATCAAATATTTGAATTTCAATCCATTAACTCTTTTGTCTCCATTAATTCGGTCTTTTTAAAAGAACATCCATTTATTTATATACCTACATATATAGCATATTTCTAAAAATATTGTTAATGAATCTACCTGTATTGCAAATTTCAAAAACTTAATAATATTTATTTTAAATTAAGTTAAAATCATGACTTGAAATAATAATGTAATATTCAACTAATTATTTTGTGGTAATTTAATTTTTTATCTTGTATAAAAGAAACCACCAATTTATACCCGTGCAATGCACGGGCACTATACTAGTTACTTATAAAATTCTCAGGTTTCATGCCTGGGGAGAGGATGTAGGATTCAAAAAAAATTTTGGATCCGAACCTCTATATATCGTGGTATCATCCTATTATATCAAAACAATGCTTAATGAGAATATATACTAAATAACAATATCTGCAATCAATATTAAAATTTGTATCCTAAAAGTGAATTCTACAAAAACATCTATTATTCAAATGAATCTCACACATGTCTTCATAAAATTAACAAAAATTTCTTTAAGAATAAAGAAGATAAAAATTCCACATGGACATATATTTATTTATTTGTTTTTGTTGGGCATACATATGTGTCCTTTTATTAGAAATAAACGGTAAAGTAATAGCCCAATTCAGAATAACCCAAAAAGATGTTGGGCTGAAATTGAAACTAGCCCAGTCCAATAATATTTCCGAACCTAATTATTTTCGTTAAAGGTAGTTAAAAGCAAATGTAACCTAGGCCTAGGCGTTTTCAACTTTTCATATTCTCAGAAGATCCATCTGCTTCAAGAAAGAGGTAAGGAGAGAGAAAGTCATAATCTTGCGCCGAGGAAACAAGGGAAAAATGGTGGTAGAAGATACCCCAAATTCTTCTATTACTGACGATCAGATCAGTACCAGCAGCACAAACCCTAACCCCAGGGTTCGTGACTCCGACGAGGATGAGCTCGAGGAGGGAGAGATTGTCGGAGAAGATGACTCAGCCACTTCGAAGGCATCGTCCGCCGTCGTGCGTCAGCCTCACCCGCTTGAGAATTCTTGGACCTTTTGGTTCGATAACCCCTATGCCAAGTCCAAGCAAGCGGCCTGGGGAAGTTCTATGCGAAGCATCTATACCTTTAGTACTGTTGAGGAGTTTTGGAGGTCTGGCTTTTTTCTTTTTTTTGGTCATCCCCTCATTTTATTTTGTGATGTCACTTCCCTGTCTTGATTCTTTATCGGTTTATATCTCGCTTGTATTTGTTTGGCTACTAGGGAAATTGATATCACACATTCGAGAAAGTGCTTCTTGGGCCATTAGTTAATTCAGTGATTTGAGTTTTCGAGTCTGGTTCTTACTGAGTTGATTGACATTAATTTCGGTGAAGAATTGGGAGATCAGATTTAATTGTTGAGTTGTGTGAGATAGAAAGCCTGGAGCTTGGGGCACATAAGGCCCCGAACTTTTGAGTTGTGCACAGTCCACTGATAAATCGTGGAGATAACTTGACTCTTCAGCACTTACTGATTACCAGTCTTCAAGTTGTGTACATAGCATGTTTCTCGCAGATGCCCTTAACTGTGCTTATCTTCCCTTTTCTATCTTGTACCTGTTTCCAGTGATGAGCTATGATGTTTGTTAAATTGTATAAACCTGTGGAATTAGGCATCAGCTGATATCATTTGTGTTTATAGGTATTGAATGACAATAAGGTCGCGTTAATCCTTATCACTTTTGAAGTCACCAGTTTGGAATATGCTCAATCTGTTTGTAATTTTTCATGCTAAATGTCAATTATTACTGCTGCAATTTTTTGTTTTTCAATCTTAATCGCCTTATTTTATGTGGATGTACATAGACCATACTATTTACACTATTCGCCTTGAAGGAAGTGCTAAACTGTATTGTTAAAGGCTATGATTTTGCTTTTTATAAGTTTCTTTTTAAAAAAAAAAAAATCTGCTGATCAATTTCAAAGGGTGAAGTTTATATAGTTTTGCTTGAACAGTATTTTTACAACCTTAAGCTTGATATTTCCTAGAGGGAAATCTGATACGCGGTGGTTATACACGGTATGATTTAGGAGGAATTCTTAGGTACTCTGAGAGTACCAGCTCACCTGTACACTGACGAATAAAAACATTCCATTTGGATAAATTCAAATTTACGTAGCAGCTTACGTGTGAATGTCCAGATTTATAATATTTTAATAATTTTTTAAAAAGCTGTTTTTTTCCCGAAAAAAAATTCTGCAACTCTCTTTTCGATGCATCTCTCCCTAACCCATTTTCTTTTCTCCGTCTTGTCCTCAGCATCTCAGCATCTTCCATCTTCCCTTCAAATTTATTCTCTCTCCTTCCGGCTTCCTATCCCCCTCTATTCTTTCCGCCATTAACGCAAGGCCTGAGACCATTGGCTTTTGTCTAGCCTCCTGCAATATTCATCGGTTTGCAAACAGTCACAATGAAAAGGGGAAATCCACTTAATAGTGTAATGAATGAGCGTTCACAACCAAAAGCACATAAGCATATAGAAGATACATGGCGTGTCAGAAAAGAGAAAAGAAAGAAGATGGGTTTGAGGAAAAAGATGATGGTTAAAGTGTCTGAGGTACTATTCCGGCATTCCCAGCCACAGCGGAGGCGGCTTGGTTGAATCCGAGCACTTTTTGCTACGATAAATGCTCCTCTAATACTGTTAAAACTTCTCTGACCTTGCTTTAATGGTGGAAGACTGGAAGGGATAGAGGGGGGAGGGCGGGAGAATAGATCTGAAGGGAAGATCGGGAAAGCTGAGATGTTGAGGACAAGAGAGATAAAAGAAAATAGGCAAGGGAGAGATGCATCGAAAAGAGGGTAGGAAAATTTTGAAAAAGGCAGCTTTTTTAAAAAAATTATTAAAAAATTATGAATCCAAACATTCACACGTAAGCTGCCACGTATGTTTAAATTCTATCCAAATGAAATGTTTTCATTGGTCAGTGTATAGATGAGCTGGTAGTACTGGGAAAACGGGCCGGCCCGTCACGGGCTCGGGCTTAAACGGGCCGGCCCGTTTAAGCTCGAGTTTCAAAAATAAGTGTTTTTTTCAAGCCCGGCCCGTGAGATGAAGGACTCGGGCTGGCCCACGGGCTTTTGGCTTGTTTAACTAAAATGTAATTTTTTTTATTTTTTACATATTTTATTGAAATAGTAAAAATAAAACAATAAAATTACTAATAAAATGTATAAATATAAATAAAATTAAGCCACAAACATAAATATTATCATGTATAAACATTTATCACAGTACAATAGAGTCTATTAAATAAATAAACCAAATGGAGAACAGACATAAACAAATAAATAAGTATTAAGTTCAGAAAATAATTATAATGTGGATGATCTAGTTTAATTATAACTAATTAATAAAAAAGTTTAACTAACAAACATAGTATACATAAAGAATAATCATTCATCCTACCAACAAAAAAGAAAAGAATCCATCATCTATAGTTCTAAAATTTGTTTCTAACTATAAAAATGATATAGATCTTTATTTTAATTCAAAAGATTCTTTAATTAATTTATTTCAAGCATAAAAAATATGGGAGAATGACAAATAAAGACCCCTAAAAATTACATATACAATATTTTAACAAGTTTTGACAACTTATAAATAACAATATATTTTTATGAATATACATAGTTTTAAATCTTGTAATTTTCATTTTTTTTTAGTTATTTTTCCAACAACTATAGTGATTCTTTTTTCTTTTTTTATGAATGCTGTCTGTGTGAGTTATTGGGGTAAGTGAAACTAAAAGTGTGCTATGTGTAAAATGTTTGAATTTTCTTTTTTAAGTTAAGAAAAAAAATAAAAATTAAAAAAAATTGTTAGCGGGATTAAACGGGCCGGCCCGCAGCCCTACAGGGTTGGCCCGTTTATTTTTCGGCCCTACAAGGCTGGCCCTTTTAAGCCCGACTTTTCTTTCAAGGCTTCAAAATGCAAGCCCGGCCCTCGACTTAAAAGGGCTTAAACGGGCCGGCCCGACGGGCTCGGCCCGTTTTCCCGGCTCTATGAGCTGGTACTCTCAGAGTACCCAAGAATTCCTCATGATTTAGAATCTATGATATATCAACTCAAATCAATATTCTAAATTGATTAAACATAAATTTTGACTCATATTAACATAACCCAATCATCAAAACTCATTTTGAATCATTACAATATCATTAACCACCATAAACCTTCTAAAAATCACAAACTCTAGATTCAAATTCCTTAAAAATCCAAATCTAAAAAAACTAAACCAACTAAACACTTAGACTAGTCTACAAAAGTCATTTAAATTTATAATCATTCAAAACCTCAACCCATTCAAAATAATTAAAGAACTTACGATTCAGCTATCTCAATTTTAAAAATCTAAAAGAAAATGATAGAAATGAGGTTAGGAATAATTAATTTGATGTTTAGAAGCTTAAATATATTCTCCTAGATGGAAAACACCAAACCCTAACAGAGCCTCACAAATTTTCCTTCTCAAACCTCCTAAAAATCTCATCTGAAACTGATTTATAAAACCAGATTTTCGACATGTTTGTTATAGTGAACACTTAGTGAATGAATACTCTGTGTTGTTCATTATAGCAAGCATCTAGCTAATGTGTAGCAAATGACACAGGCAACACACTATGATATTTGCTATAGGAAATATCTAGTGAAAACACTGATAAAAAGGTTCGACTTCAAAAATTCATAAATAGCTTCAAGGATCTCTGAAAATTACAAATTAGGACACTTCGGAAAGTTTGAGATGTTTATTTTCTAATACAAAAAGGATCACTAAAAAACAAAATCATCTGACTCTTGAAAGCACCCAATATCTAAAACTACTCAAAAAAGTTTAAAGGTATAACCTACAATCATCAGTCTTGGTATTTCTAAGTCTCAACTTTCAATTTCAATTACTTAATGTCTCAATTTTTCTTACTAATCAAAGCTTATTTAACTCTAATTCTTAGATTAAAACTTAGGATGTTACATCATTATTTTTCCAAAAGCAATTACCAATTCCTATTCAACTACTTGCGTTAAAAAAAAAAAAAAGAATTCGGAAACATGCATAATTATTACTTCCTCATATTCAAAATATAAGTACTCCTTCAATCCTTAAGATAACAACTCTTTTGTAGTGCTTACACTATAAAGTTGGTTTTATATTACGAATCAGAGAAGTATTAAATAACTAAATTATATAACTAAAAAAGTTGGTTAAAATTTAGTAAAGACACTAAATACATAAAAAATGCAACTTATTTTCTTAAAACATCTTTCTCTTGAAGTTTTTTATTCTTTATTTTATAAATTCTAATAATTATTTTATAATAATTTTATCTTAATATTCTCTAAAATTTTTGAATTAAACATATATTTATATTTATATTAATATAATAAATTCATATTTATTTTATAATTATAAAATCCGAATTAACAGAATAAAATGTCCTAAAAACGTAATATAATTCAAACGAATTTATAGTTAATTATTTGAATTAAATATTAACTTTTAATTTTTTAATTTTTTAATTATATAAAAATTAATCTAAATTTACAATTAAGATTTTATATTTCAATATTATTTATGTAATTAATTTAAGTTAAATTATAAATTTAAAATACAAGGATGTGATTAAAAATCAGATAAAACTATACAAATCTAATAAAATAAAATAAAAAGGTTACAAGGATCTAAATAAAAACAAGTATTAGTAAAAGAACTTGATAAAAAATGCTACAAGGACTTGATTACAAGTTATTTAAAACTACAAGAATTTGCAAATTAATTATCCCTGTTTTAGTAGTATCTTATAGTGATAAAAATCATAAAATGATGAAATCTTGAATTTCTTACGTTCAAAGAAAAAGATTCCAAATTATTCATTTTTTATTTTCTTACAAAATCATTTTATTACACTATATAGCACTCAATTTTTTTTAATACAATTAGAATCTTCTTTCTATATTTATTCTGCATTTGCTTTTCCATACGTTGTTTTCATATATAGCATGCACTGTTCGTTTGGTATGAGAGGGATTGATGGAAGGAGAGAGGTAAAAGAATTTTAAAGAACCCGATTTGAAAAAATGAAAAAGTGAAGATACAATTTTTAAATTAATTTTGCTTACTTTTTTATCTTTTTTTTTTGGGTCAAAATCTTGAAAAATTGGAGAAGTGGAGCTAAAAATTTTAAATTAATTTTGTTTACTTTTTTATCTTATATTTTTTTCTTTGTCAAAATCTTATAATCCCATTTTTCAAATTTTTTTAAATAGAACTCATTAAAATTTTGCTCCCTATTTCTTCCAATTTCCTCATATCAAACATAGGATAAGAGCGAGGGAGGCACGTCATTATATTTGCATGAACTATTTCCTCTCTTTTTTTTAAAAAAAAAAAAAAGTTCATGTACAAAAAATCCACTGGAATCTTCTTAATTCCGTCGTGATTTATACTACTGGGGGAAAAACCAAAACTCTGGTAAGTTGCGTGGGACTCCGTTTCTTGTCCTTTTTTTTTTTGTGACCATTTTTCTTGTACTATTGTTGAATCCTTGCAGAATTGCTAAATGACGAAAAGTACACAGCAA